TCTCAGCACCCTCGATGTCATCCGATCGGATAAAGGCGTAAATCACTGCGTGATACCCCGTGTTAGATATATTTGCAAACGAGGCCTTGTAAATGTTCCATATTCGATAAACCTCCTCCTTCCTGCCCATTGTACCGTAAAGGGTAATGAGAGAGTGGTAAGGCCTACGGTCCCGGCCCATAATCCTATCCTCGAGTTTCCTTAGACACTCGTTGGCTTTCTCCAAGAGACCCGATTTAATATAAATCGCAGCCATCGTGCTGAAAGTTAACCAGTTTGGATCTATGGAGTTGTCGAGCTCCATCTGCTGAAAAACTTTCTCCATTTTATCCAGGGAGCCTTGGGACCCACAGGAAGAGAGCCATATGTTGTAGGTAATGATATTGGGCGATATCCCTTTCTCCATCACTTCTGATATTAACGACTCCACTTTCTCGTGGTCTTTGAGGTTCATGTAGAGCGTCATCATCACATTCAAAGGGAGGATGTGGTTGGCGTAGTTTCTGTTTCTCATTTCGTCCATTAGGGACTCTGCTTTTTCCCTCATTGTTGAGCGGACATACGCGTTTAGAAGGGAGCCATATACTTTATTGTCCAATGAGGTGCTTGGAATTTTTTTGAAGTACTGTTCGGCGCTTGAAATGCCGTGCACTTCCGCGATGAGGTCGAGCTGGATGGCAGCATCGCTGGAGGTTGCTCTGAACCTCTGTGGCCTGTTATTCATCCATTCATATATCTGCAAAAACGCACAAGCGTTTGGATGCTAGAATTGAAGAAATGAACTAGAGGACATGGTAAGAGACTAGAGTTAAAAGCCAAAGCTATATCTATACAGCTCAATATCCAAAACAACATTTCTTGCTTCATAGAGTAGACCATCAATAAAACAAAAGCATATGAGTTGAACTTGGGAGTGCAGATGGATGGAAGCAGAAGCTATCTATCTACTAATTCAACTCTACATAATTTAATGATGCCGGGAATTTCTCAACAATCTTTTGATTCATCATGATTCACAGAAGATACTTCATCGACAATATCTGCTGTTCCAACTTACCATCACCCTTATATGATATATATCAACACAAACAGATTATAATCTAACAAGAAAAATACAGACTACAACCGGATAATTATTAGGAAAAAGAAAAGGCGGCATTAATATTAACCAAACTATTAGCCTAACTCTAAATACTAAAACATGAGTTCCAAAGATTAAGGAATATAGTATTTTTTTATTTTTAAAAAACAGTCGTTCAACGACTGTTTTTTGATTCTCCAGAAAACCACAGAGTACCAATCCACACCTACTGGTCAGTCTTTTTCTTCTCCTTGTACTATGTCTAGAGGCAAACTTATGATATATAAAAAAAAAAAAGGCTCGAGCTTTTGAAAAATCAAATTTACCTCAAGCGCGAGTTTGAACCGCTTGAACTTTCTGAGCTCCTTCACAACTTTGGAAAGCTCCCATCTTTTAATTTTCTTGCCTTCATTTTCAATCCGACTCAACACTGCAGCAGCCCCTGAATCCGAGTTTTTCAGCATATATACTTTATTGAAAATATCCCCCCAATTCTGAAAGGCCCTCCTCTCGTAGTCAACTGTTCCGCGGCTGTTAACCTGCGGTGGTGTCGATGAACAAGTAACAAATACTGCGTTTTCGTCATGATTTTTATAGCCGGTGGTGTATAAGATGGATTTTTTCAGAAAAAAAGTCGAATTTTGAAGGAGCCCAGATGAGAATGAGAGCGCGTTTGAAGCGTAAACATTGCACTGATTCTGTTTGGGATAATTTGGAGGAGGTTTTGGGATGGTGGGTTGGAGAAGCATGGTGGCGCTGTGTGATTGTGTGAAAAAAATTATATGGCGCAGGTTGAGAGTTGGATAGAATGTGGATATTATTTCTGAAAAAAAAATAATAAAAAAAAACCATTTTCTTGATTTCTTATGTATTTTTCATAGTTTTTGTTTTTAAATTTTAGATGTGCCCCTCGAGTTTGTTCTATTTTGGAAGAACCCCACAAAACTTTATGTTCTATTTTTGGACTCGATAGGGGAATATGACATTTCTCTTTCTTTGTCTTCCTTGAATAAGTTAAGCTGACTTGTATATGCAAGATGTCATCTAAGGGTCCATCTTAGCTCCAAGAGCCGTTAAACGTATCGAACTGCTTGTGAGTTTGACTCAATTTAGTACGGATGGAAATTGTTTAACAACGAATTTCGCTCAACTTGATAAGACTTCCTCAACTTAGAAGGAAGATTTTCTCGAGTTGACTCATTAATATTGACACATGAGCTACACTCGAACTCGATTACTAGCTTGTCGTTTAGCTAAGAGTTTGACTCGTTAAAAGGGTCGAGCTCCAATACTATGAGTTTGAACTCAACTAGGCTTATTTATACTCAGTAATCCTACCTTTGTAGTTATACTGTGAAAATTTCAACCTACCTTTGTAGTAATACTGACCGTAGGATTACACACGCTCTGCTCTGCTCATGCACATACCCGTGTTGAGAGTGTTGGTCCAACAATTCAAACCCCAAGATAGTGTATTTAGTGAAGGATGAAATTCACACTTAAGATTGGAAATTTGGAAGAATAAATGCGATCTTTTTTGCCTTTACTACTCTTCAGTTTTTATATTTCTATTCTATGCTTCAAAATCCATCTTTTGTGAGATCTTCAGTAATTAATTGTTGGGCTGTATATTCTAGAATTGATCTTATACAGACAACAAAATTAACGGCGAAATTAAGCATAGACAGAAGTACAAACCAAATCAATGGGACATAACTGTCCGAGCAAAGCACTTCAAGACATGAAACAGTTTGGGTTTTCAACTCATTCAAATCTCAATATGTGAACCACAATTGTCTTTGTCACAATACAGTAATATTTCTTTGTTATAAACGATATATTTTGATAAAACAGTACTAAAATATTACTTAAATAGGTAAATGATAATAGTTTCGCATATTATGAATTTTTTTAGAGACAATCTGAATGCTACTGATTTTTGTAGGCATCCGCTCTAACAAAATCGTCACACGACTTCAAACCACAGTATTCTCAGACCTGGAAGCACAAGCACCTTCACCTAACTTTTCCTGCACGAGGCGAGTCACCTAAGGATTTTCAAGCTTTGATTTGGGGTTTAGAATGCATGCATTTTCAGCAGATGTCTATTTTATTTTTCCCTTTTTTTCTTCTTTGCTGTTATTTCCTTTTACCCTTTTATCTTCTCACAATTGGGAGCTCATTACATCAACTGGAGTATGGAGCTTTTTTTAGACTCTTACCTCTTCAGCCAGAAATTAGCACCCGAGGTGCCAGCTTCTATGGTATATATCATGATATTTCGTGTTTCCATGGACAAACACCTTGGGGATTTTCACCTGCTGTGTTGTACACAGAGAAGTTAATAGTCAAGTCAATATAGTTAAAAACAAGACCAGACAAAAGAAACAAGGAAGATGATTCACAATTTTGAGACTAAAATGAATGTTTGAAGCTAAAAGGAAATAGAAATATAAAGCATGGGTCTGAAGAAGACATATTAAGGAAGAAGAAAGAAATTCCAATACACAACAAAAGAACAAAAA